ACAAAGAAACTAAGAATATTTCGATAACAACAAAGCATTGTCGATCATGTGTAGCAATCAATAGTCATGTGGCTGGGTGCATCGATTCATTTATGTTAATTTTTGCGACTTTCAATGAAGAAATAAAAATTCAAATTCGCCTGTCACGAAAAGAGGGGGGTTTGGTTTGAGTCAATGTGACGGACAATCTTTCCATCAGTGAAGTCGTCTCATTTCATGATTGGGCATTTGTCTGTCCGGTGTTAAGATTGTAATGGAACTTTGTGTGGTGCAAGATCATCTGGCAGATCATTCCAAAGATGAATTGCTCTGGAGAGAGCCAATAGGTCGAATTGGCGACATGTGATACACTCAAACCTTGATATAAGGAATTCGGATATAACTAATTATTAGTTATAATGAAGTAAGTGACCAATAGCTTTGTCATATGCACAGTGTTTTGAATAATAGTTCATGACAAGTTTTCAGGTTATATTGAAGTATTTTTGTGGCACGTGACTTTGTTATGATGAGGTTTGGGTATAAATACAAGCTCCATTGCCTCACTGATTCACGAAATCGTGCTGACATTGCTATAATGTGCAAGGGAAGTACAATCTGCCAATCAATGGGCCACTTTCATTTGGTCACAGTCATGGTTTGCACGGACGGTGCTCCATGACTTTTTTGCTTTATTTGTACGTGTTTAACTTGTGTTAGTAAATTAACTTCAGTCACCAGCCGTGGTCAGACGACTTCAATAGCAGAAGTAACACTCCTGCGTTTCTTGTTAGCTCGGTACTCCTCCGTGTATTGTTTGTCAAAGAGACTAAGATATGAACTGTCATTTTGCTTTAACTCTTTTGTTACTGTGCCTATTCAGATCATTCAATTGGAACGATGAATTTCAATATTAAATTTTTGTGCGCTCGTGGAGTTTGCGAGCGCCTAACACCATCTAGGTGAGAAAGTAGGAAACGCTATGACGCTATGAAAGTAGGAAACGCAAGATCTGCTATGTTTTGGTTGTTTTTTTTTTTTGGGGGAAGTCTTTCCTCGCCGCTCAAAGCCTCTGGTTGTTGCACAAGTGTGCTGATCATAGCATCGTTTTCTCGTGTGGACGTTCCTAAAAGACGACACGTTTATAGTGAATTGAGTGCATCAACAGTAGATTTTGAGGATGAAGTAAGCAGCAGTGAGCTTGAAAAGGTGTTAACACATCAAATTTCACCACCGATAATGAGTATACGTCAAGCTCCAACGTGGAGCGAGTGAGTGTCGATTGTATGTGGGGCGCCCATTTTGTTTTCTAATCAGCAGTTGTGGGCAACGAAGCGTGTGCTCACAGCAGTTTTACTCATTTCGAGGGTCTCAACGTCCTACAGACATGATTCCTTGAGGCATCTATGAAGTGTGTGCAGTTTCTTTCTAGACGAAACCCGGGAGTCGAAGTCGCAGGCGCGCTCCAGAAGATCGCACGGAACTTTGTCCGGGCCATCAATTTCTTGCAGCTGTCTTTCACTGCCAGCTGATGAGCATGACGTGCAGTTACACCAACAAATGTGCGTGGATGCAGATTTTAGAGTGGCAGACATATGTGGAAAAAGACGATTCGTGGAGTAACTTCAGTCCCGACCAAGTCTGAAGCGCATTGGAATCTTCATCTACATGAGAATTTTTGAATTTCCTCGCCTTCATCTCTATTGGAATACCTCAGAGTTGTTTTCAGGCCCCATTCCAACGAAAATTATGCCGAGAAGTAATTTTTTTTGTTCCTTGCTTTTTTAAGTGTCATGGACTCGGAGCAGACAGAGTTCGTCCGCAATGGCAAGCTGCACAAGATAACCTATATACTGCTGCACCCTCACTAACTTTCTTTTTTGTGGAAAGAACAGTTCTTGGCAATTATTTTTGAAACTTGTACAACCTTTGATTTTGCAGTATAAGAAGCTACGAATTGTATATTGTGAATTATTTTTAACATCATTATTTTTATGTTATTCTTCTTTTTAAAGCATTAATTTTATAATTAATGTATAAATTTTCAATATAAACATTTTTCTTAATGTCCATAATAAATATATATGCAACATTTATATTATTGGACAGAACATCTTTTCGGCTGCACTTTGGTAACATTAAATGTAAACAAGGCCTTAGCCGCAAAAAAAAAGTGTTCTTTACACCTAGCGAAAAGAGCCATTTTTTCCATGGTAGCGATAGAGTTTAGTAGCATATTCTTGGATAAATTTATACTATGACCTGGACCAGGTGCACTGTCTCCAGAGAAAAATATGGGCTCTAAGTATATGAGAGTAGTCACCATTGGTTTATCCAATGTGACAGATTATGACTGTACACATTCTGAAGAGATTCTATGAAAACTTCTTTGCAGATTTACCAGCATTAAATCTATTTGCTACATATTCTAGTAAGCTAAAGTGTCCCATGTGCAGTTGACCTAGTTTTGTAGTTTTATTCAGATGCACTTAGGATTGTTAAGGTTAAATTTAGTATTAGTATGCCAGCACAGACATTGTATCAAACTTTGACTTCCAAAGATTTCTGGGAAATTCTCTATAGTTAAGAAAGATTTCTGCTGCACTCAGCTGGTGATCAATGTTGGCATGAATGGGATTAGTGTTGAGGCAGTTTGGAGGCTCACTATATTACCATCACAGAAATATGTCTCAGGCAAGGAGGAAGAATAGACAGAAGGGGAAACTCGGCTCCTTTAAGCACTGCAATTGTGTCACCCCCCCAGAGTGGTGGCGAACGTCTTGACAGCACCACATGCAGAACCGCAGCTGGACTGCTGCGCCGAAGCAGCAGACGCGAGAAGCCTCATCTGCTTGCGGGCTTGTGCTCATTGCTCAGTGTATTAGTGCATAGCTCAGATACACTCGCTAAATGAGACGGGAAATCGTTACGACGACGAGTTTTCGCTAAGCTAGCCAGGTAGCCTAGGGAGAAAGACGATACCACCAGAGTTTCGCGAAGCTGTCCACAAGCACTAAACAGGCTCGCTCTCACTCTTCCACCTTCGCATGCGAGAGTAGAAATATTATTTGTGGGAACATGGCATACGAAACACGGTAATAAAAAAACATACAGGGGGAGCTTTTCATATTAAAAAGAAAAATTGAAAAAATAGAAACGAAAATACAGGAAAAACATTTTTCTCATTTGTCTGCTCTCTTTCGAAGCTTGGTTTATGTTGGAACTTTCTGAGAACCACGCTTTTTTCGCGATGTAGTTTACCTGGAAGTTTGGACAAAGTGGCTCTACATTCACTCGTTTTGTCCTCTACATTCACTCGTTTGGCGCTACTTTTATAGATAATTTCAGTGATATTCCGGCCATTTCATGGCTTCACTTCTGGGCATGAGTAAGTAAAACCTCAGCTCAAAAACTTCTGGCGCCGCTTCAACGAGTCGCAAGATCTTTGGCTGGTAAGAGATGTCCGTAAATTTAAACTTAGCATAGTGTCGCGCCTGCCGACAGTTTCGGTGCGAAAACAATTTTTCTAATATAATAATTTTTAATATAATAATTTTTCTCTTTCATTTTCTGTTTCCTCTTCATATAGCCATCACCCGTTCTTGCTACTGTTCTTGGTCAGCAAAGCGTTAAAAGGTCAAGCTTTTTCTTTTACGCAGAATCGATTCACATCTCGAGGCAGTTTCCGCTCTTCTGTTCAAATCAATTGCCGTCGGCTCAAACATTCTTCATCAAAGTCTGTTTTTATTTCGCGCGCAGTAGTTTTGACACTGTTATATCAAAAAATCTGCAAAATCTATCCCCAAGCTACACTATGAGTGATTTTAACCACGCGCCTAGCTACGATAACAGATCGTCTCTTTTTTTTTAATGGTATCACTTCATTTTTTTGGTTGTTTGCAGAGCATCTGACCCAACATATATAATTAAAAATGCTGGCACTAAGACAGCCTACTTGCTTCATTTTGTTTTGGCAAACCATGCTGGTGGAAAACTTTCATAGCTGCATCCAGTAGCATAGTAAAGTCCGTGAGAAGCAGATGTAGCAGACGACACTCCGGCGCCATCGAAGACCGTGAGTGTCGTGGGCGCTTGCGCTCTCCTCCCGCGGCCGAAAATGAATAGTAGTTCTGTGCGTCGCTGAAAAGATCGCTCCACGAACATTTGCCAAACTCCTCTCCTAGGGCGGCGCGCTCTAGCGCTGGTGCCCGCTCAGTGTTTCCCCTCCCGTCTTTCTTGCTCCGCTGTCTCGGCTAAAGTGTGTATGCAGCTGGGCACCAATCATGCCCGGATTGGGCAATGTGCCCTCAGGACACATTGGACATACTAGTAGCACTGCTGGAGTGTCTGTGCCTGGTTTATTTCTCGATATATGTTGACAAAATTTTCCTTATATATACGGCATGTATTCTTTGCTGCAGAGCTCTCAGCCTGATGATCTAGCTAATAGATCTAGCTAGCTAATGATCTAAGATGATCTAGCTAATCTTGCTGCAGAGATCATCAGCCTGATGATCTAGCTAATAGCCTGTAAGCTACCCATTGATTGATTGATATGTGGGGGTGCAACATTCCAAAATCATGTTATGATTTTGAGATGCCATGTGGAAGGCTCCGGAAATTTCGACCACCTGGGGTTTTTTAACATGCACCCAAATCTGAGCACATGGGCTTACGGCATTTTCCCTCTCCATGAAAAAATGAGCCACCACAGCCAGGATTTGATCCCGCGACCTGTAAGCTACCCAGTGGCCCAAAACTGCCACAAAGGGTGCTTAGGGACAAAGGCACTGAAAGTTTCATGAAGTATTTGAAAAATGCTAGTCATGCCTGAGCATACTCGGTCTCTTCTCTTTGTTTCACCTCGCATCCAAGTGCAACACCAAGGAGAGTGATTCATTGCAGTGTTTAGCATAACATGTCTTTCTTACTTTCACTGCTAATATTTATATTGACCTTTAACTATGACAATATTTCATTACGATAGCAGCGTTGTTGAATGCTGTGTATGTTTTGTTCAGTGTCACCAGCCGCCAGGCACCTGGAAGCATGCCCAGGTGACGAGGGGGGCCGGCCCTCCGGAAGGTGGCGGCGGAGGCGCCCCCCGGCCCCCCTACCAGGCGCTCCCCCCGGAAGAGGCCCAAGAGGTGCAACCCGTCTACCCCCAGCCGTCACTAACGAACCCCTTCCCAGCAATGCCACTCGCAGAGCATGCCCCACCTGTATGCCCCTCCAGGATAGAAGCACCAGTTCCGTTGTGTGCGGTGTCATGACTGGGCAGTGTGGCCGACAAGTTCTCTTTCTTATCGTGGACCTCCCCACCAGAGTACAGTGTGCGACACTGCCTAGAGTTTGGAAGTGACAACAAGGCACAACTGTTCGAACTGTTCAACCAAGAACCGTCGTTCCTGCAACCCAGCGTGACCATGACTGGAAGGTATGTGGACGATCCACGGTTATCACCGCCAGAAGGGATCCAGCATTAGAGTACGAACAGCAGTGCCCCACTCCTACTTGCAGGCTTGTACCTAGTACCAGCTGTGCTAGCATGCGCCAGATGCGCACAGTAGTGCAACTGGGTATTGTGTTGTCGATGTGCGGGTAGACTTTTACAAGAGGGGAGAAAGTTGGTTGCTCGTAGTGGCGAAGTGTTAATGGTCTAAGAATGTGTTGTTGCCTGGACTTCCAGAGGCTGATGTGGGGTTCCTGTCTGCCAGTACTAGGCAAGCATTGGTAGGGTTGGGGCAAACGATGTTGCAATGATCGTGGCAGCCAGTTTTTTTGTGCGTGCAACCAGAATGGAGTTCAATCTTCTTGCCCAGAGTTTGAGGTGCCGGTGCTGTGAATCTGGCAGGTGCTTTGGCAGTTGTGGAACAGAGTTTTCGTTCTTTTTTTTCTGGGTACGACATCGCCACGATGCAGCAGATGTTGCTTTACCTCAAGTTGAACTTGAGGGAAAAGGGACTGGCACAGTGTTTTATACTAGTTCCTGGGACAACTCTGCATCTCTTGTCATCGTAGCCAAGGCATCCTCTCGAGCTTCACCTGTAGGCAGGCCTGGCATTTTGTTCAAAAGTGCGGGGTTATAACATGATCCACAATATGTAATTATGGGCACATGCTGCTGATTGGTTGGTGGAAAGTGTTGCCTAATGCAGCCATTTGGAGCCTTCCAGTTGCGTGCCTGTTGCACAGATGTTCCTCACCATGAGTGTAAGCACCGTACTTTCAACCAGAGAACTAATGCGCATTTGTGGTATAGTTCTCACGTATTCATTAACGTACCGGTGTTTGAAGATCTCCAGTGCATTGGATAATGAATTTACCTCATGCCCTTACTTTGTCGTGGAACTCCTTTACATCCAGTCAGTTGCCTTTAGTGGATTCGCATTGAGCTGCAGTCACAGGTCTGCTGTGGATCCCACTGGGTTGCAGCTGTCTCCTCCCAATGCAGGTCGAGAGCTGCTTGCAAGGTTAGAAGCAGTGCCGGTGGTTTTACTAATTGATATAAATATTACAGTGTCTTTTATTTTGACCCGCCTGAAACGTGATCATTAGATCATAAGATTTTATTTTTTGACAAAGAGTATTGCAATACTGTGAACACTGTTCACTGCAGCCGCCTCCCAGTGTTTAACTCCACTCTGAATTTCTAAATGCTGCCATTTTCTTCGGAACAAGTCTGCAGCCATTGCTGTGTTGATATTGTGTACTGCAACGGCGACCACGTTCCAATTTGATCACGCTTGAAGCATGCACTGGTTGTTTAAGCCTTTGGAGGTAGTGCAAAAAAGAAACTTTCCCTCGAGCACGATGGCCGCACAGTACGCTGAGCAGGTCGGCAGAATTTGGCTCTAATGGAGCACAGCATTTGAAATTAGGTCTGAAAGTGGCAGGTTGTAATTATGGTCCCAGAAAGCTCCCCCTATGGTGAGCTGTCATGCGTTACTTTTTACTGAATATTTCACTATACGCAGCTTCTTTTTTTATCAAGCTTCAATATAGCAAACATTCATATGAAGCAGATATGTCTTTGTTGTATTTAGAAATCAAGGGCACTGCATAAATGGCAATGCTAACTTATTTATCTAAGTATAATGGGTAATTTATTGTAGTTGGTAATTTATTGTGACCAGTAAATCATTATAGCTATATTCCTTTTATCGAGGTCTCACTGATTTGACCTTGATTAACGAATATGGATAGAGCGAATTTCTCGTTACAACAAAGTAAATGAAGAATACTGATGTCATTAAAGTGTTTTGCATATGTAAGTTCAAAACAAATTTTCACATACGGTGAAACTAGGGGTGTGGAAATATTTGAGTTTTTAATTTGACTGTCGAACAGCTGGTATTTGATTAATAGAATAATTCGACAGGATGAATATCTAAAACGTGACAAAGGCCAATGGTGCAACTTGGATAGGGTGGAGTATCTAAAACCTATGCTAACATTGTTACAGTAGCCCACTTGATAAAAATTTTACCAATATTCCTCTTCAAAAGCAAGCGCATGTTTATATTGAAGGAGCTTATGTCATTTCTGCACATCATGGCTTAAGCAATGAAGGCCAAGGAACAGTTGGGGAAAATGGAACTGCTAGCATCAAAAAATAAGCAGCACACTGACCTGAGACCTCATAGCCTCAAAATTGATTCAATGAGCCCCTGACGCCAGCAAGGAATAATCTTTTGAAGTATTGAAAAGAGCTTGGAGCTGCACTTTAATTATGTATCGGCAAAATTGCTTTGCGATACTTTCCCATGCTTGCTACTGAGGTTAGCACCTGTTTTCCACTTCAGGAAACACTGTAACATCATGGTGATCGAGCCTAATGCCAGTTCATTCAAAGCGGCTTCCGTTTCTGTATGACAGTTTGTAGTCTTTTGGTAGCAGTCGCGCACTGCATTATGTGCTCGAGATCAACAGCAGATTTATTGTTTTTGTCATTTCTTTCAAATCAGTAAAATTCATTGTATTTGATATTAACAGTGTTTTATTCCGGGGCCTGCACTGTGACTTCAGTGACGTATTTCTGTTACGAAAATGCCATAAAAAAATACACACTATCAGAAATCGAAGAAAAGAAGTTTTGTCAACGGGAGTTGAACCTACAACGTTCCGGTCCATCATAAGAGATACTGGGCACGCTATCCACTGCGGCACAGTCGAATACTTACCGCAACGGTGATCTAGTGGCTAAGACAGTCGTTTGCTGACCCGCAGGTCACAGGGTGGCATCTCAGCTGCAGTGGCCACATTTTCTATGAAGGCGAGAATGCTGTAGGCCCGTGTGCTCAGATTTGGGGGCACAATAACCTCAGGTGGTCGAAATTTCTAGAGTTCTCCACTACGGCGTCTCTCATAATCATATGGTGGTTTTGGGAGGTTAAAACCGAACAAATATAACAGTAGGCTCTCAGTAAACGGAAACTGAAGGGACTGGGAAAATATCTTTCATTCAACAGGACTTGCATTTACTGACAGGTGAACATGGGTGCAGAATACAAGCCCGAAACCAAGCATTGCAGAGGCAATAGTTCCATTTAAGCAGTAGTTCCTTTCAACAGATATCCGTTTACTGAGAGTATACTGTATATTATTATACAGTCACACACCATGTAAGCTGTACAAACACGCTTTTTATATTTATCACTGTCCTCTCACAGTGCTGCTAAAGTGAAGTAATGCATCGTGATCGTGGAATCCACACTTACTATCTTAAAAGCATTGCTTCTATGCGTCTGCCGCATTCATCACATTTCGAATCGGAAATGGCAATTTTTTCGACACATTGGCACACTGCCATGTGGCCACATCACCTCCAGCGTGGGCCTCGCTTATAACATCCATCCATATAAAAATAGCTCTGCGGCGCAAGAGTGCTTCGCGTGGCTAGTGTGGTTATAACTCCGTGTTTCCTACTTTCACTCCCCTCGCGAAACATTGCATCTAGCCAACGGGGACGACTCAACACATGTTACATTTCTCTCTGGTCGGGCAGCAGTGTTCAATAACTCTAACATACCGTGACTAGGCGACTTCAGCCCAAGTACGGCGTCCAATTAGTGATGCTCTTCTGGCTGTTACGCCACCTTCTATGATTCTGCTCTCACCATACAGCTACCACAAGCATCTATGACCACAAGAGTTCGTTTATTCGTTTGTCATGGACATTATTCGTAGGGATGTAGATTTACCACCAACCGTCAGCGTGGCTGCATTTCTGTTAAACGGTGTTATAACTGTTGAACACAAACAGACATTATGCAAGCTCACTTATATCACTGTACAATAAACATTTAACTACTAGTGTAAAGACAAGTATCACTTTCATGTTATACCGATTCTTATGACGGAGAGATTAACCATGTTTTTTCAACCACTATTCGGCACTCTTCGATTCGACTTTGATTAGATGCAAAATTTCACTGTTAGCACACCCCTAGATGAAGCCACATTAGCCTTTGTTGTGAATATTGGTATTATAGCGAGATATTTAACTTCGCATGCCTTTTGAATGCCATTCGAGTATGTTACTTAACTCATGGAGAGGAGTTCGTCAGCAATACTCAGCCAGTGATACTCTGTCATGGCATAGAAGGACTCAAATGGTCAAGTCGAGCCAATGTGGCTCTCTTGTTTGTGTTTCTCAGCACCAAGCTATGCCGCTAGTCAGGTTACCTAAGTGAACTCAGACTTACTGTGGTAGCAGTAGATCTCAATCTATCAGTTTTCTGGCTAGGTCTGCTTTTTCACACTTCACTCGGACAACTGGTCAACAAGCGTTTCGTGTGCTCAGTTTGTAGTTACAGAGGCTGCATTGTGCATTAAATCGTGATTTACCTGTCGATAATTAAAAACATGCAGACCTACATTGTTGAAGAAAGACAGCCAACTGGGTGTGTGAGAAAGAATTGAGTATTGATGTCTCTGATAGGTTACGAAACTATTCTCACCGATTTGTATTGCAATTCATCAGCTTGCCGTACCAAAATAGAACATTCGAGCAATTGGCGGGCTATGCATCCTGCACTATTGTTAATAAGGCACAAGTGTGTTAGGCATTGCACTTTGTAGCCAACCGGATGTCTTTCTGGTTAACCTCCCTCCCTTCTCCCTTTTTGTTGCTTCCTCCTTGCACTTTGTAACCAGCTTGTTGACTGGATAAGGACCGCAGCCAGAAGTACAGCCGCGGGCACAGTCAAGCGGCCCACCAATGTGCCGTCTCACTTGTGGAGTGTTTTTTCATCTTTGCTGCTAGAAGGAATAATTCTAGCTTTAAGCAAACAATTTGCTTCTCTTCTACCGGTAATTTTCAGAAGCTTCCATTTTTCGTCAAATAGAAGCATTGACGAATGAATTTTGTATTTGAGTTACTCTATGTTCAACAGCTTCCATTGAATTAACATTGGTTTTATCGAGGTTTATTTGATAGGAAATCTATCAAGCTGTGGGCGAGGATCTCGCTTGCTACCAGGCAAAGTGTTTGAATGACAGCTTTCGTTTTCACAGTTTTCGATGGGAGCACATTCGGCACATTGTGTGCTTCAGCCGATGCAGCAGTAGCGGCAAGAAAATTGGACAGACGAGCTTTGAGATTCACTGGGAGGCAGGTTGCTGCCAATATTTACGACAGTGGCAATGTCATGGTGTTCAAACCCACAGATATGTATATCAGACGCCTATAACACCTGCTGGCATTTTTAGGTTTGTTGTTTCCATAAACCTGGATGAGCCATTCTTCCCGGTTTCGCGGTTTTTTGTTGCCCATCATCATTCCTCACCCTCATCACATTACTAACCATTTTCCATCCTAATAAACCATGATAGCTCATCACTTCAGCGCTATTTGTGTAAGCTAAGTTGGGGTGCATTTAGAACCATACCAATCGCCAATCCTTGTTGCTGCATTAGTGCAGCTAAAAGGTTTAGGTCATTCCATTTCACTTATTACTGCATGTGTTCGGAGCTGTACTCTGTTGCATCATGACACGGCAACCAGACAAGACTCTTCCCACGTTAACTTTGCTAAAAGCTGCATTTCTTTCTTTTGCTTCAGTTGAACAAAAAAAACTTTCGGTGAATATCTTTGTAAGCGCAACCTGGAATCCTTGTTTGGCAGTATACACATTCTTGAAGTAGGTTTGGTTTCTGTCATTATAGTCTCTCAAGTTGAGTACTACCTTATATTCAGACTAAAAGTACCCACTTGAAACTTCAAACACTTTCAAAGTGGACAAACACTATGCCAACTTATAATTTGTTTGATTTTCAGAACAACTTGTGTCTTAACGGCTGAATTGTTGTGCTGCCAGGATTGAGAACCTGGATTTGATTCCGAGCCCTAGTGGCCTCATTTAGATGGAGATGTAGTGCAGAAATAGCTGCAGAGCTACTGTGCCTTCGAGAGATGGGTAATGAAGGGGGCGAGATGATTTCGACCACGTGTTCTTTCATGTGCACAGACATCGCACAGTACATGGGCCTCATGCATTTCGCCTCCATCAAAATGTAACCATTCCAGCTTGGGTTGAAACCACATATTTGTGGATCAGAAGATGGGCACTGTAACCTAAAAAAGATTATATTGGGCAAGTTTATGAATCCTTCTTGGTGGGAAGTTCACAACTTTTACTCAAAAACATGAGACACAAACTCTTCACTTCAACTAAAGGTTTATTGCAAATGTCAAAATATATATAGTGGTGAAAGTAGAAAAAAGAATAACAAAAAGCAGAACAACAAAAAGCCCACGTGCAGTGGCGTACATTAATCATCTATTATTATCAATCACACCATCCAAAGAAAAGTTATTTCTGCGTGAGCGAGATAGAGAGTGCGCTTTTACGCTCAAACTTGTCACGTGTTATTTCTGCTGCTTCAACAATCAAGTTGGTTCATAAATCTCTGTCAAAGTATAAAACCCATATACAACCACACTCTTTACAGTGAATCATCATAGTAAACTGCAAAGGGAAACCGATGGTCACTTTCTTGGCAATCCACTGTAAAGAGTGCGATTGTGTGCTGTATTTCAACAGTACATGCATTCTATATCGTGACAAAGATTTATTAACCCGTCTGGTTGTTGAAGCAGCAGAAATGACACGTGATGACTTTTCAGTGTGTAAGCATACCCTCTATCTCGCTCACGCAGAAAAACTTTGTTTTTTGGATGATGTGATTGATAATAATGGACAATTAATTTATGGCACTGCACGCCAACTTTTTATTGTTCTGCCTTTTACTTCTGTTTTAGTTTTTGCCTCTTTCATCCCTCTACATACTCTGAGGTTCGCAATAAATGTTCAGTTGAAATTCAGCACTTGTGTCTCGTGTTCTTGTGTAAAAGTTGTGCGCTTCTTATCAAGATGAGCACTGTAACCTCTAATTTATTATGGCAACTTACAATAGACTTTTATCACTACAGAAAGGTACTATTTATGCAGATATCTATGTACACCATTACTTTTTTATGAACAACAGGGAAGAACCTCTTTCTAAAATTTTGAAGTATTACCTGCCAGAACCATGGTATGATTGGGATACACACCATAGTGGGGAAACTCCAGAATAATTTTGACCACTAAATTTTTATTAATGCGCAACTAAATGCAAGTCTGCTGCGGCTTCTGCATTATGTCCCTATCTCAAGGTGGTTGCCATGTCTGTAAATCAAACCAGTGTTCCCCTTATGCCCCAAGTGCCTCCTTTTTTTTTATTATTGCAATCTTAACAACTCAAGTAGTCAAATGCCAGGCTTTAGCAAGTTTTATTCATCGACCGTGAATTTTTATTAAGCGAGCTTTATCTGATATATTTATATTTATACCCCATAAAACGAAAAGTTTATTGTGCACAAGAGTTCAGTGCTTCAACTGAAAACAGTTGCCTCTTTTTTGATGGAAAGAGATTTAATGAGAGGATTGCTCCGACTTTGGAACAGAGCGTAGCAGGAGTGATATGCCCTAATGAGTCGATTGGCTGACCCTGTCTGACAGGCCTTTGCACTTTGCCGAGTTACGATGACAGAGTGCAGCATTGGCAACTGTTATGCAGTGTGGACTGATGAGAAACCACGTTACCTTTATTTCTTCAGGCGTCATTCAAAGATTCACTCTTTGGGTCATCTGTATATGCCACCCATGATTCACTTTGTTGTTCCTACATGACGGCATCGTAGACCTGCACGATGCACGAGTGCTGCACGATGCACGTGTGCTGCACGATGCACGTGTTCTCCGTAGTATCTCCCTGATGGCTACTCCATGCCAATGCCATTTCTGCAGTGTAGGACCACATGCCTCCCATATTTGTGTCCTTTTGTGTTCTTTTTTTG